TGTTGTTTGGCGGGTCCGGGCTGGGGATTCGAACCCGCCACCTTAGGTGTACGTGGCTGGCGCCTTAGCTGGTTGAGCTATGGGCGCCGAGCCACAAATGTCTATTAAAATTTTGGTCCAGAGCTATTTGTTAAGCCCCTACTATGTACTGGGGTCTGTGATAGACGTTGGGGATGCCTGGAGAACAAAAGAGATGCAGAGCTTCACCTCACAAAGTTAACAGTCTAAGGGTGGTAGGGAGGGGGAAGGGTAGAGGGGGGAAGATGAGGCAGCACTTGCTTAGAGGGCAAGGATGAGCTTAGCTAGAGCATGATGTAGCAGTGTGAACCCTGACACAAAAAGCTTCTGTTCAGCAGACACATACGCAGGCTTGTTAATGCGCTGATCACTGAGAAAGGTGCTAGGGATACAGATATCAAGAATGTGAGCTGGGTCTCCAGGACTAGTCTACAAGGGGAGACAGACAATTACCTTAACTAGTAATGGCCACTGGTTACTTAGCCCTTAATATGTGACCAGCACTCAAGGCTGTAGGTACTTTATAAATGTTGCCTGTCTTCCTTGCAATAGCTGTGGAACGCTGAACAACGCAAGCTCATCCTGATAGGACTCTCTCAGTATCACAGATGAGGGAATAGGGAAGGTTTAAATTCATGCCTGGAATCCCATGACTAGTAAATGGCAGAGCTAAGATGTTGAACTCCTGCCAGTGGTTCTACCACTATCCTGTCGTGCCTCCTGGGAGCCTCAGTCCATGTGGTTGAGTCCCATGGAGTCCATGCAGCCTCGTGCAAGGATGTAGGCTCGGTGCTCACCTTGTGATAGCACCACGTGATGTGGTCTCCCCAAGGGTGTCAATAATACCCGTGTCCCAGCTTTTTGAGAATTAAACCACATAAAAGATCTAAATCACAGTGCATGGAATTAGACAGTAGACACGTGAGCTACTGCTTTTTGTTTGTCTGCCAGGTGAGGGTGAGCATTGGAGGAAAAAGGATTTTATTGTTATTTTTGTTTGTTTCTTTGTGCTGAATTAAGCCCACTTGGTGTTTTCTGAGGTTTGTTTGCATGTTTGTTTGGTTTAGTGATAGGGGTGGATTGTCAGATGTGGTTGAGCTAATGCTGTTCTAATTATTCCAAAACAAAGCTTTTGGTTCAGAATCGGCCTTTTATTATCACAGCTCACGTACTAGCTGCTGGCATCTCAGCTTGAGCACTAGGAGTTTAGACAAAAATAGTGGACTTTTCCAGACTTCCAATATTTCCTTTCTCTCCCCCAGTGAGCTCAGTGGGCGTGTTAATCAGGTGTCCTTCCCCAAGAGCTGGGTGTGACTTCCTTGGAATTGGAATCATTAGCTGAGAGACAGAGACTGGGCTCTGTGGGACACTCTGAGCATTGGTCAGAGAAGAGGTCTTCTTCTATGAGAAGCTTCTTTAGTTCATATATCTTAAATCTGGAATGATTAGCTCTTACTTGGTTCTCCAGGCTTATGGTTAATTTTCAGAACCCCTCAAAGTCTTTCAATAGGGCTGGGCACCATGGCTCATGCCTGTAAACCTGACACTCTGAGAGACCAAGGCGGGTGGATCACTTAAGCTCATAGGTTCAACACCAGCCCGAGCAAGAGTGAGACCCCATCTCTAAAAATAGCCGGGTATTGTGGTGGGCACCTGTAGTCCCAGCTACTTGGGAGGCTGAGGCAAGAGAATTGCTTATGCCCAAGAGTTGGAGGTTGCTGTGAGCTGTGATGTGACAGCGCTCTACTGAGGGTGATAAAGTAAGACTCTGTCTCAAAAAGAAAAAAAAAAAAAGAAAAAAGACTTTCAATAAATGCCTTTATTCCACTATGGTTCACTGATTGAACTAGTAAGATTGGTTGAATTAGTAAGAAGCACCCTGGTAAGACACAATTACTGAATTAGTAGGATATGGCAGAGTTCAACTATTAAATTCTGCGTGCCCACTGAAAAAATTACATTATACATGATTTAGATGAGTATTCCCCACTATCTAGGAGAGGAGAGTGAGAATTAAACAATACTGGTTAAATACGTGGATTGACATTTTTCTACAACTATTTAGTTTCAGCGTAATTTCCAACAAGTAAGAGAGGAAATGGAAAAAATGAGAAATGTGGCCTCCGCAAAATGGTGGGTTGGCAGCAGGGGGTGGTAGAAAGTGGCATTGGCTTTAGAGAAGATGGGGCTAATACTACAAAATACATTTTTTAGTTTGTGTTTTCTGCCGTATTACATCGATCTGGTATTTAAAATGACGGAGAAGATGGAGAAAAATTTTCAAAGAGAAAGATGAATAGTTCTATAGTATAGTGAGTATGAATTATAATTACAGTGCCTGCATTTTTTCCAGAGATCTTAGATCTTTTTCCTTAGGATCTGGCAAGGAGAAATCAAGATGTATTAGAAGCTCCGACACATCTGTTTTTCCTTAATTCCTATTCCAGCACCATACGTGGGTCCAGAGTAGGGACTTGCTTACCACATCTTTTGCATTTCCCCGCACCTTTACCCTATGTCTACATCCAGTTGTAACAGTTTTCCTTTTTGTTATAGCAGCAGAAATGTACCTTTTCAAGATAGTCATTGGACCAAGATAACTCTCATGCATTACTAATGCATCTGTCTTTTCTCCCAGATGTCCTTCAAATATGAGTTCTGTGTTTTAGTACATTTTTGCTGCTATAACAAAATACTGGGTAATTTATAAACAACAGAAATTATTTTTCACGGAGGCTGGGAAGTCCACTGTCAAGGTGACGGCCACTTTGGTATCTGGTGAGGGCCTGGTCTTTGCTTCCAAAATGATGCCTTGTTGCTCTGAGGGGAGGAACACTGTGTCCTCAAGGCACAAGGGATGAAAGGCAAAAGAGGACAAGAAGGCCTCGAAAGTTCCTTCCAGCCCTTCGATAAGGCACTAATCCCATATGCTCTAATCACTTCCTAAAGGCCCCACCTCTTGATACCATTGGACTGGGGATTAAGTTCAAACATGAATTTTGAATGACCACCCTAGGCTCTGTTAGAAATCTAATGTGCTATGCCTTGTGCCACAGAGCCTGCTCCAACGTGAATTTTGGAGGGGACGCAGACATTCAAACACCATCCATTTGGTTATTAACATTATATTAAAATGTCATGATGGGAATTTTTCCTGTTCTTTAAGACTTTCAGAAAGAGATACTACAACTTCACTTACATAGCCAACATATATTATAGTAAAATGTTATTAATTTTGGAAGTGTTTCATTCATGGCAATTTTGAAGATTTCTTGGGAGTGAGCTATGAACCCATGCTATATCATTGATATACTATACAATACTATTAGTTTTGAATTGGAGTTCATTTGAAATCTTAGACTCCATCCAGAGTGATTTGACTTTCTAAGTACAAAGAGAAGTTCATTGTTAGGTTGTCACATGTATAAAACAGAAATTAGAAAGAACCCAAGAGTAGCGTTTTAGTGAGTCTTCCCATTATACAGCATATATTTCTAACTTGGACTGTTGGCTATTTGAAGGAAGTAAATTTCCTTATCTTTACATTTTAAAAAGTCTTATGGAAAATCAATTTTAGCAGGCAGGAGAATTAATCAAGTAGAGAGATGTAAAAAATAATATTGAAGATATACAATTAGTAAACATTTTTTTTTTTTTGAGACAGAGTCTTACTATGCTGCCCTCAGTAGAGTGCTTGGCATCACAGCTCACAGCAACCTCAAACTCTTGGGCTGAAGTGATTCTCTTGCCTCAGCCTCCCAAGTAGCTGGGACCACAGGTGCTTGCCACAATGCCCGGCTATTT